GAAACGGAGATTCGAGTCCCTGGTGACAGGCCTGACGTGTATCGACACCTTCGTGACATCCAGCTTCTTCCAGCTCGACAGGTTCTTCTTCCGACACTGCCTGTGAAAACATTTTTTTTAAAGAAAATCGGGGGGAAAAGTTGAGGGATTTCAAAGGGCTTCTGTTTGTCACATAACGGAAATTGTGCTGCCGGAAATTCTCAGCGTCAAGCCGTGATTTTTTTTTTTCTCGCGTCGCTTTCGTTTGATAAATTTTCTCCTGCCGAACGGAAGAAAAGAAAGGAGACGATTATTGATGAATAAATTTTTGAATGATTTTGCCAAGAATTGGTTTTTCTGTCTGTCATCCAATCCCTTTCCCTCGAAAAAAACAAAATAAAGCAGTGTTTAATTTCAAAACACTCTCTGAAAGTCTAAGAGAAAATAATCTGAAAAAATAATATTTCTCCCTCTACTTCAAGTGGGTCACAATCAACAATCTTTATTGACACAAAAACGTAACAGATTTCGAATTAAACCACGTATACCAGATTTCGAATAAAACCACGTATACGTAATTAGATATAAACTGTCGAATACTGTATTATGAAGAAAACTGAAATGCTCAAGTATTCCAGCGAAGGTGCTGATTTTGAAGCATTTTTAAAAGTATTGTTCAGAAATTGAAGGCGCTAATTTATTTGATTACAAAACCTCTCGACTTCATGATTGTGGCCGCGTCTTTCAGCATTTCTTACGACAAAATTCATAATTTACAAATAAGTGTTTGCCATGTAAAAAATATTCATATTTGTCCTCGACGTCTCAAAGCGGAGAAAAAAGCCAGCCTCAAATTAATGCATAATTTTCCTTCCAATATCTGTACACTTTACATGTGTACAGAAAATTAGTATCCTCATTAAACTTTTGAGAAGCCTTGTAATTTTGCATGGTCGTTGTTCACTGCTGAAAAATGGGCTCAATGACCAATAATGTGTAAGAAAAAAAATCTGCAATAGGTGCTTCAGAAAAAATACCGAAAATGTGCCTCAGAATTATTTTATTGTAATTTTACTGTCACAATAACAGAAGATCTGAGAGAATACATAATTTGAGAATCAGGAAGACCAGCAATTTTGAGCTAAATTTGGAAAGTTTACAAATGAATAACCTGACGATCGAAAGTATACGAAATAAATTGAATAAGCGAAATAATCGTATTTTTCTCATTAACGACGAAGTATCGGGCACCTACAATATTTTCAAAATATCCATGCTCATCTTCCAAGACACACATATTTTTACATAGATTCTCTACATATCTGAAAAACATTTAAAACCCTGATATCAGTTTATATGTGATCCAATCTTCAGAAATAAACGATCACAGATTATTCCCCCCTAATTTATCCTCGAAGGTGAAGAACCTGATATTTTAATTTACAGGAGATTCTCTTACGAGATGAATAATCACACATCATCGAACACTTCTGACAACTTATTCTCCTTAGACATGTGAACAGCTTACTTGCTTCTATACGACGTATTCTCTTGCAGATCATCCAAAAAATTAACGAGAATCCCCATTTTTTTGTCCTCGGAGAAACACCGAGCCATTTAAAACCATGCGAAAGATTAATTCAAAAAATTAACCCTTGCCTTCAACTGAATCCATCAGGAAGCAATTAACGGCCTTAAATACATTAATGACAATTTCCGGTAATTATTTATTTCCGCCAACAGAAATGCTCGTTTTCCCTCGAACTTTTTTTGCTGATGGTCCTTTATTGAAGTTCCGACTGGAAGAGGTTCAACTTCATAAACATACAGTGTATCTCTTCGGAAATAATA